GATCTTTTAGTAATCTGGGTTAAGGAATTACCAGATTTGTAGCTAGTGGCTTTCTCAGAGCCCACTCACAGATGTGAGGGTGGTTCAGGGCAATATTGAGAAACTTTCATTGCAAGATAGGAACACGGCGACGGCATTACCATAGAGAAGCTGCACTTCAGGGAAGTCCTTGTCCCCGCAAATACAGGCTGTGTCGTCAGGGTTCGTCCTCCCACCCATGTTCACACTCAGCCAGCCTCAGTCCTGAGCTCTCAGGACCCAGCGCTTCCCTTCCTCCGCTGAGGATTTGCATCCTAAGGCCACAAGGGGGCGCTGCAGGAGCGCGCAGAGGCTGAGAGGCCAGGGCTGCCTCCAGGCACCACCCCTCTCTCTGGTCAGCAGCGGTCCTTCTCTGACAGATCCTCTGCCACTTTGGTCGGTCCCTCAGTCAGATGGACCAGGGCCACCTCAGTGTTCTAGGGATCCCTTGATGTTGACTAGGACTGTCCTTGGAGAGGGCTTTCTGTTCTCACCTGCTCTCTGTCCTTGTAAGGCCCAGCAGAAGCACCATGCGGTGGGCTGTGGCCCTGCTTCTAGCTCTCCTGCCTGCTGGTGAGTGCGTGGCACGGGCGCTCATGGGCCTCCCCACAACGGGAGCCTGTACTTAGAATTCCGTTACTTCTCCCTCATCGTTGTTTTGTTGCTGTTTCCACAGCAGGCAGTCAAACATCTGGTTTGGAAGGAGGAATGACATCGGTCACCAGGAAACCTGGGTCCTATATAATCATCACTTGCAATATTCATAAAGAGGAGAACTACATCCACTGGTACCTAGTCCAGGAGGGGCAGGCCCCACGCCGTCTTCTCTACTATGACTTCTTCACTTCCAAGACGGTGGATTCTGAGTTCAACTCAGGGAAATACCATGTTTATGAAGGCACAGAAAGGAGCTATAAGTTTGTGCTGCGAAACGTGGAAGAAAGCGATTCTGGAGTGTACTACTGCGCAGTCTGGGCAGGCACAGCGCTTCACTCCTGCCTTTCTCTGCGCTGAAAAGGATGTGCTGTGCAGCGGGCGCCCTCTCACTTCCTGGCCTGAGGTCACCTCCTAGCTCCACCTTTATGTCCGTGTCACACCACCACAACAGCTGAACCCGGACCCACCCACATCCTCAGGACTTCCTTAAAGGCCACACTACCGTCTCCAGTACTTGACCAAGCCCTCTGGCTAATGGCAAGGGCCGGAAAGCACGCTCAAGCTGCCATCTGGGGCAGAGAAGGTCACCCAGGGGTAGTCAGCTAGAGGGGACATTTAAGAAGACATCATGGGAACAGGAGTTGAACTGAATCATTTATCCAGTCACGATCTAGAGATAATGACAGGGGAGGATGCTTCTTCACTACTTGAGATTCTGAGGCGTGATGGAACAGAAGCCTTGTGCTTCAGGAAGTCCTTGTGCTGGTAGTCAGATTTACTATTTTTAAGAAGATGATATTTTCTTCACCATAACCACCCACAGTACTGTTTGTATGAATGAGCATGCCAGAAAAGAGGGGGTTATTGTAGTTTACTGATCCTTAATACAAATTGAGTTTCTCCGATCTAAATGTCCATCCTTACTCGTTCATGTACCAGGTGGCAACCAGTCTACAAAACAGATGGATGTGCTGGGTAGGACAGAACTGTTGGTGTGTGCACAGGCAGCCTCCGTGCACGCAAGCATGGCACAGCGTGCACAGCAAACTGGTGACACCAGGCTACTTTCTGTTTAAGAATTAAAACAGAGGGATGTCCTCATCACGCTACCTCAGGTGGATTGTGCCCTGGGTGACCAGTGGGCGTCAATCTTGTTTTACCTTTCTTTTTTCAAAGTGGACTTGTTGATCTCCCATGAATTTTATTGAACACATCTATTGAAATTGACCCTTGGACAGACCCATTTTAAGCAAATAAATTTAAGGCTCTAGCCACCCCTCTCCCTACCCTCTTAAACAGACACCAGAATGTCTGTCAGCTTATTCCTATTTCTTAATTATCAAAACTAAAGAATTCTTTGCACTAACAATCTTCTAATGAATGCTTTATATTTAAATTGAAAAGTCTTACAGAAAAAAAGACAATCACTGGCATATTAAGCTATGTTTAAGGTTATAAAATTAATCCAGAAAAGAAGTCACACAGGGAGATATCATATTGTTTGAGAGCCCGGCCATGATTAGCAAAAGAAAGAAGTTTACAGATATTTTATATTTCATGACCTGAAATTTCATTCATTAATTAACAGAGAACTGTGACTGATTCTGTGAGGTATGTGCATGTGGTATCCAGCATTCTCGTCTAGTTCTTTCCTTGACTCTAATTTTAGTCACTGATTCTTAAAGTTTCTTCATATAACTTTATATCATCTATTAATACAGACAGTTTCTCTTCTTTCTTCACAATCCCTCTAATTTTTTTTTATTTATTTTGCATTCTTAATTCCCTAGTTATGACTTCTGGTACAATATTCAGTAAAAGTGAAAGTGACTGTATTTCATGTCATAGTACAGATCTGAATAGAACCTTCAAGAATAACTTGGAAAAGCATCACCATGGGGAATCCTTCTTCCATGTGTTCCTGACTCTTGGTATATATGCAGGCTTTAGCTTATGATTCTTAGCAGAGTGGTGTGCTTTGTGTCTAGACGTTCTCCCAAAGTCTCAGGTAGTGGTGGGCTTTTCTGAGGTAGTTAGGCCTGGAGTTTGCAATTGGTTCTTTGTCTAGTGCTAGGATTGTGGACATGAGTGTTACAAGCACCCTAGGGCAGGAAGCCTGAATGAAATGTAAGGGAGGAAAATAAACTTGCTCCTCCCCTTTTTCTCTTGCTGCTTTTGTTGTGTTCCACCACCACAACCTGTTGTCCCTATGCCGTGCTACTCTGCTTTGAAGCCAGCTGATTACGGATGGAAATTTCTACCAACTGTGAGCTAAATAAACCTTGCCTTCCATTCCTTCTTAATTTTTGACATTAGGTATTTTGTGTCAGCAACAAAGAAAAGTAACTGAAACAGACTTTTGTACCAGGAATGGGGTTTCTGTGGTGACTTACACTTGACCATATGATTCAAGAGCCTTTTGGCGTGACTTGGGATAAGAGAATCGAAAGTTTCAGAGATGTTGTCTGAAAGAATAAAGCTACAATGCCCTAGATTATTTTTGTACAGGAGATTCTGGTCAGAGCTCAGAAGAGCAGAAGTATGGTAGAAATCCTGCCTTTAAAGACCAAGTTCAGGAGGTGTCTGCTGGAAAGAAGGACTGCATTGGATGTCAGAGTCTAGATGGTGTGTGTTATAACTTGGAAGAAAGTTTATCTATGTCTTTGCCTTGTCCAGATGTTTTGCCTGAGACTGAGATTTGCCTGAGAGTAAGTGCAGTAGACTAATCTGGCAGAAAAAATTTCTAGACAGTTGAACGGTGAGGTGATGGCATAGTTGCTGTTGGGGGCTGTTAGGCCAATGTAGATTGAGAATCAAGAGCAGAGAGCCCAGCAGAATGATTTAAACCATTGTGAGTATGATCAGAAAGGAAGCTCCAATAAACCTGTGGGCTACAAAGATAGAGGAGAAGAAATCCTGATTTGTAAGAAGGAACAAAAAAATAGAAAACATGGCCTACAGGCATCACAAGAACCCTTTGCAACCTCAAAACTACAAAAGCAAAAGGCTTTGCTTTGAAGAGAAAGTGACAGAACACCACGTTTTAGTCCATGTTTTATAATAGCCATGGCCATATTGTGTTCCAGAATTGCATCAGCATGGAAAATTTGTTCCTTATAATGAGATTCAGAGTGCCCACTTAACAACCAAAAGAGAGAGAAGGCTGGGTCCTGGTCTAGCTGGCAGCAGACCTTGGCATCATCCACATGGTGTTGGTTTTACGCACATTCAGAATGCAAGATTTGTGGGGTCAAGAAGGTCTCCAACCTGATTTCAAAAGGCCTGGATGCCAGGAAGTGTGCCCCTGAGAGGGCAGGTGTGAAGCTGTGAGGGTGAAACCAGAGGTACGGTTGAAACCTCGGAAGTTTGGAGTAGGCAGGAACATGGCTTGTGTAAGACAGTCTGCAAGAAGGGAGCAGAGCAGGCCCGAAAGAGAAGCCATGGAAGCCACCAGAAGTGCCATAGTGGTGAAGCCACCCAAGCCCTTTGGGGTTTACAACTTGCTACAGATTGCCTCAGATGCTGCACATCAGACTATAGGACCTAATGTTTCTCCTGTTAGAATTTGTACTTTCTTTGGTCCCAATCCTTTGTATCTCACTGTGTTTAACTTTTGAAATGGAAATATTGATCTTGTGCCATTAAATGCTTAACTTTCTCTTTGTTTGTACAGGGGCTGACAGCTAAGAGTTTGCCTTAAATCTTGGGAGCTGGACTTTTCAGCAACACTGAAACTGTTAGGACTTTGGCAACTCTTGGAGTAAATGCCTTTTGCCTAAAGGAATGTGCGTGAGTCTTTGGGAAACAGAGGCATAGTGTTATGATTTATGCCTGGATCTCCTTCCAAAGCCTCATGTGGCCATTGGGAGGGCTGTCATTGTTTCACTGTCCAGAGCTAGGATTTTTTTTTCTTTATTTTATTCTGGGTGTGTGTGCCACAACTACCCTAGGGCAGGAAGCCTGCATACCTTGTAAGGGAGGAAAAGAGGCTGGCTCCACCCCCCCCCCCTTTTTTTGTATTTAGTACAAGGTCTACAGGGTCTTACTTTGTGGATCAGGCTCTTAGTAATCTGCCTGTGTTCTTCAGCCTCCCAAGCAGTGAGATTACAGGAGTGCACCACCAAGCCCATTCTCAATCGCTGTCTCAGAGTGCCTCAGGGGTGAGGTGAGCACATCAGGCCCTGGGATTGAACCCCTGGCCCCGGCGTCTGCCTAAGCAGGAGCTTTAATCCACTGAGCTATTTGGTGGGCCCACTCCTTATCATCTGCTTTTCTTGGTCTCCTTGTCTTCTGCTACCCTGCACTGTTGCCCCTCTGCCATGCCACCCTTCCTTGGAGCCAACTGGCTATGGACTGAACCCTTACCAAGCTGTGAGTTGAACAAGGCTTTCCTTAATTTTGGCTGTCAGGTATTATGTCTTGGCAACAAGAGAAGAGTAACTAAGGCACACAGTTTCATAACTTTCTTTAAAAAAGTCTTACATAATTTTTTATTAACTCCGTTCCTAGATATTTTACACTTTTCATTGTTACTGTGTATGTTGATGTATTATTAAATACTTTTCATTGTTTATTACTAGTTTAGTTATGTTACAGACTTATGATATTGACCTTCTTTTCTATGAGTTTAGTGTCTTTTCTCATACTAATTATATGGAAGCTTGGGAATTTTTAATAGTATCATCAGCACATAGTGACATTTTTGCCTGACTTAAGTGCTGATTTCTTTTCGAATCATTACATTATCCAGGCTGCTCAGACTCAACACTCTTTTTGAATATTAGGATCATGAACATTAATTTCTTGTTCCTAAATTTAGTAGAAATTCCTCTGCTAGGTCATCGTGCTTGGTGGAAGCTTTTGGAAGATGTCTTTTACTAAATTTAGTTTCTTATTTCTATTTTGGGCTTGTTAGAATGTTCACTGGACATGAATTAATGTTGAGTGACATCATATGCCTTTTTCTCTATGTGTGGGTAGATTATTTGGTGTCAGGCAACCTTTGCATTTCTGAGATCATCCTTACCAGTCATATTATTATGAACAAAGTTTGCTACCATGAAAATAGTTTTGCTTATATGGTTAAGTGAGATGGGTCACAGTTGCCCCCTCCCCCCTTGCCTTTGCTTGGTTTAGACTTAAAAACCAATAATTTCTTGTCACAGCAATTTCTTCACTTTCTTTTTTCCAGAACCATGTGTTGAAGACTCTGGTTAATTTATAAACTTGAATATATTTTTACAAGTACACAATAAAAATTTCAGGTCCTGATGATATTTAGTATAGGTTTGTTAAGAAATATTAGAAACATGATTGCACTTATTTAGTGACTATGTCTTCCTTTTTTCTTTTTGTATAGATAGTATCATTTGCATCTGACTGTAAAAGTATAATGCTTCATGGTTCGAAAGTAAGGATTTGGGAATATACCACCCTAATACATGCTGCTGTGGGGCACTGACTGTGCTGAGTCACACACACTCAACAAACAGCAGGTGCTAGAAGGTCACTCTGACCTGCATGCTCTTTCTCAGAAGCAGATACGACTCTGACATGAAAGACACCCTGCCTATGAGTGTGCCGTCCTCAGTCTTTTCAATTTCTTTTCTTTTCTTTTTGTATTTTAAGCAAGGGTCTACAGGATGTTCAGGGTCTCATTACTAGATCAGACTTGTAGTGATCCACCTGTTTACAGCCTCTCAAGAGCTGGGATTACAGACGTGCACCACCGCATGCTCCAGGGACAGGGCCGGCGCGGCACCACGGGTATTGAATCCCAGACGCTGATCCTGTTTGCAGGTGCTTTAATCCATTGAGCTATTTGGTCAGTCCTTCACCCTTTACAATTTCATGGAAAATACATTTTCCACACTGAGGGGGGAACTTTCTTTTTAATTACTCTATGTTTGCAATACATAATAATTACATTCCCCAGATCTAGCATCTGACTCAGTCCAGCTCAGATAATCAGGCATTAGACCTCCTAGGGGGTGGACATAGTATATCTCTGGCATGTTAGAGTAACAGCAGGATCCACATTCCTGTGAGAACCTAAAGCCTCTCTAGATCTGACAGGAGGTGCAGCTCAGGTGGTGATGGCAGCAACGAGGAGGGGTGGGTGCAAATGCAGATGGCGCTTCAATTATTTCCCCAAAGCTCACCTCTGCTGTGTGACCCAGTTCCTAACAGGCCACATGCTGCTGGCATTCATTGTCCATGGCCCAGAGGGTGGGCTATTCTCATCATTAACATTCTTCTCACCAGGAATGGAAAGG